CCTGACCTTGTGTAGGCCTAGGCTTAATGTGTGTGTTTGTGTCTACTTTTTTTTTTTTTTAGATGGAATCTTGTTCTGATGCCCAGGCAGGAATGCAGTGGCGCAATCTTGACTCACTCCAACTCCACCTCCTGGGTTCAAGTGATTCTCCTGCCTCAGCCTCCCAAGTAGCTAGGACTATAGGTGCCCGCCACCATGCCTGGCTAATTTTTGTATTTTTGTAGAAATGCGGTCTCATCATGTTGACCAGGCTGGTCTCGAACTCCTGATCTCATGATCTGCCCGCCTTGGCCTCCCAAAGTGCTGAGATTACAGGCATGAGCCACCGCACCCAGCCTGTGTCTACATTTTTAATATACAATTTTTTTAAGTAAAAAAAATTAAATAGGAAAAAGCTTATAGAATAAGGACATAAAGAAAGAAAATATTTTTACACAGCTCTAACAATGTGCTTGTGTTTTAAGCTGTGTAATTACAAGTGAGCCCAAAAGTTTAAAAAATAAAAAAGTGTATAAAGTAATAAAGATACAGTCAGCTAAGGTTAATTTTTTACTGAAGAAAAAAATTTGTATAAATGTAATGTAGCCTGAGTGTACAGTACTTATAAAGTCTACAGTAGTGCACAGTAATGTCCTAGGCCACTCACCACTCACTCACTGACTCACCGAAAGCAGCTTCCAGTTCTGCAAGCTCCATTGATGGTAAGTGCCATGTACAGGTATACCATTTTTTATCTTTTATAGTATTTTACTATACCTCTTCTAAGTTATGATACACAAATATCTACTGTGTTACAACTGCCTATGATAATCAGTAAAGTAACATGCTATACAGATTTGCAGACTAGGAGCAATGGGCTGTAATGTGTAGCCTAGGTGTGTAGTACCATCTGGGTTGGTGAGTACACTCTGTGATGTGTGCATGATGACAATATCACCTAGCAACACATTTCTCAGAACATATCGCCCTCTTTAAGTGATGCATGACTGTACTTATTTATGCAGCAACTTTTTTCACTCACTGGTTAAGGATTACTGGGGCAGGAAGACTTTAGGCAGTTGGAAGTCAGTTTCACTACAAAGGTAAGATCTTAGAATGGGGATGGTTGTAGGAGACTTTGAGAGCATCAACAGTACTTGCCTATTGGGCACACCTAGAAGCTAGACTCTGATGGGAAGGAGTAGATAGTGAAGAGGTTTTTATGTTAAATAAAAAACCTTGAATTTTATTTTAAATATTACAGGGAATTTTTGAAATGTTTTGCAAAAGGGATAAGAAAAACAGGTTGGGTTTTATAAGGTCTACTCCTGCTGTCTCTTTGGAAGATGTATTAGAAGGGGCTAGATTAGTGTAGGCAGCTCTAATTTAGAAGCTACTGAAGTTCTCCTGACAAAAATCATGCTGGTCTGAGCTACAGAATGCTTTGCATTCTGTGTGGAAGGAGAAGGAAAGACAGAAGTCACAGGACATTTCACATTTCTGCCTTGGGAAACTAGGAAGAAGACAGAATTGTTCAGTCAGATTGAGAATTCAAGACGAGGAAACAGGTTTCAAGGGAAAGATCAATGAGATAAGATTGGAAATTCTGATTGTGTAGCCTGCTGTACAAGTCCAATGATATGGTTTAGATGTGTGCTCCCACCAAATCTTATGTTGAAATGTGATCCCTAGTGTTGGAGGTGGAGCCTAGTGGAAGGTGTTGGATCATGGGGGTGGATTCCTAACAAATGGCTTAGCACCATCCCCTTGGTGATGAGTGAGTTCTTTGTTAGTTCATGTCAGATCTGGTTGTTGAAAAGAGGCTGAGAACTTTGCCTTCTCTGTCTTGCTCCCTCTCTTGCTGTGTGACACGCTGGCTCCCCTTCACTTTCCATCATGATTGTAAGCTTCCTGAGGCCTCACGAATAGCTGAGCAGATGCTGATGTCATACCTGTAACCCCTGCAGAACTGTGAACCAGTTAAACCTCTTTTCTTTATAAATTACCCAGTATCAGGTAGTTCTTTATAGCAACACAAGAACAGGCTCACACAACCCGAACTTGTCAAACAACATCTGGAAACATATCTCTTGAGTATTCTCAGTATAGAAATGGCGGCTGGAGCCATGTGTTAAAGAGGGTCTGGGCTTCTAGAAGATGAAGAAGAAAAGTTGTTAAGAGTCAAATGAGGAAGAAGGCAGGTAAGCAATGACACACTGGAAATATTGGCATGAAATGCCACAGGGAGACTCTTACGTTTCCAGAAACTAGAGAAAACTATCACCAGAGTCTTTTGATCTTAAATATGAAGAATAAGTTAGTACCCATTAGGTGGATAAATTGAGGGATAGAGCATTCCTGGCAAAAGGATGACCTGTGTGAAGACAAAGACATTTAAAGGGGCATAACATAAAACTTGAGCTAAGTTAATATAAAACCAGGCTAAAGAAACTTGAGCTAAGTTAATATAAAACCAGGTTAAAGTTTGCCTTTTCATTATCTCTGAAGAAAGACACTCCCTGAGAATAAATATGAGCTTCCTCGTTGCTGGAAATATCTTTATCCCCAGTAGCTAGCACATATTAGGTGTTCAAAAAGTTGGTTGAAATAATAGGGTCTGTTTAAGTAAATAACATAAACTAATGTAATATAATATGACAAAATATAATTTCAGAAAGACTGTTCAACTACTTAAGATAGAGAAAATCTTGTAATCACATAATTTGATTCATTCAATGATTATTTAATTAAACTACTTCCAAATTGTAAGCCCTCATATCTATTTAAAGCAAGGCCCATAAGAACACATAGCAGGCAAAAGCAATGTTTACCACATAGTCCTCAGTTAATGAAAACAATAGTCCAAGTAAACAAAAAAAGTATCCTTATTCAGTCTTTCTGTTTATTTTAACAAGCTCTTCCTTCTTAGTCCTGGTTTACAGAGGTACTATCTAAACTAGCTCCCCTACTGTTTGCCTTAATTTGTTGCCCTGACTTCTAGTAATTCCACTATTATTACCCTAACACCTAATATAGCACCTGCTTCAGTATACCAGGTGTGCAATAAATACTTCTTGACTAACTCTCAGGAATTAGTTGACTTCTGAATAAAATAAGTACTTTTCCTCCCAATGGTTCTGAAGTTTTCTGCATGGTGGTGAACTTCCTTTTGACTGCACAGAAATCATCCATTCTTCTCAAAACTGTACTGCTATTTTTATCTTTATTTTGTTTTATTTTATTTTGGCTCACCGCAACCTCTGCCTTGCAGATTTAAGTGATTCTCCTGCCTCAGCCTCCCAAGTAGCTAAGATTACAGGCATGTGCCACCATACCCAGCTAATTTTGTGTTTTTAGTAGAGACGAGTTTCTCCATGTTGGTCACGCTGGTCTCGAACTCCCGACCTCAGATGATCCACCTGCCTCGGCCTCCCAAAGTGCTGGGATTAAAGGCAGGAGCTACTGCCCCCAGCCTTGTACTGCTATTTTGCTTTGGAGAACTGCATGGATATAGTTCTAGAGAGTTTCCCTTAGTTTTACTTGCTGGCCAGAATACTGATCAGGAAGGCAATATTCCCTTAGTTTTACTTCCTGGTCAAAATATTGACCAGAATATTGACACATGACCAGGGAGTCAAAGCTGATGCTTTTTAAATGCCATTTGAAATCTAAATAAAGTAACACAGGCACTGAGTATGGTTAGTCCTTCCTACTCTTAACATACCTGAAATGACTCTAGTTTTTGTCTTTTCCTAACACTGGTTCTTTGGGGTTGTTTTAAAAATCTATAATCTATCCCATAAACTGTAATAGTCTTTGCTTTAGCTTAACCAGAATTAGGTTCCATTGCTTATAACCAAAAAATTCCAGTGATACATGGTTCTAAGATTTTATGAAACTTAGCAAGAGGGGCAAGAAGAGGAAGAGAAAGTAAGAAATAACACAGAAGTATGCTGAGTGGAGAGGAATATTAAAATGAAAAATGCTTTATCCAAAGATGAGTTGTATATTTTTAAATGTGAGTCTATGGGCAGAGATTTCTTATTTAGTGGCTAAAATCAGTTAGGGTGCTTATTAAAATTCAAGAGGAGGAAACAGTAGATTTCCATGCCCTGTTGCCAGAGGTTCTGATTAGGTAGGGCTGTGTATGCCTAGGAATCTGTATAATTTATAAACTTCCCAGACTATCCTCAGATCATGCTTTGGGAAACACTGCTTTCAGTCCTGCTATATATAGGGGGGAAAAAAAAAGGCAACTAATCAGATTGCTGAACACAGCAAAATCTTCCTGCTCCCTGCTATTTTGCTAAATAATAACAAAGTTCTAGTACAATAACTGTTTTATAAAATGTTTTAGCTTTGCCAATGACAATGGTAACCTATTAGGTGAATTATAAGAGATATTTACATATAAAGAAAAAACAAAGACTAGTTTCAAATTTTTATTTTATTGAGCAAGAGTCAATGATATTACTAAAGGGAACATTTACCATTAGAAAACTAACACCACCATCTTTATTTTATAATCCAATTGTTTTAATTTAGATAAAAGCAGCTTTCATATGAGTATAATTTTATTTATTCCTTATTGGTCTTTTGTATACACTTGTGTTCATTCAAAATACCATCATCTGCATGAGATCTCTCTCATAAGGACTGAGAATTCATTATTACAGTTTATCCCTTAAAATGAAAGTGGGGTGTTGTCGAGATATTATGTTACTAGACCAATTCTGCCAATTCTGTAGAAAGGTTATCTCTGGGATAGATACATATGACATATCATGTAATGTTCACATACATTTGAAAATTGAGCTTACTTTTTCAAAAGGTAAGTTAGCATTATTCACAACAGCCAAGACATGGAATCAACCCAAATGTCCATCATTGAGAGACTGGATAAAGAAAATGTGGTACATATACACCATGGAATACTATATAGCCATAAAAATAATGAGATCATGTTCTTTGCGGGATACGGATAGAGCTGGAAGCCATTATCCTTACCAAACTGATGCAGGAACAAAAAACCAAACACTGCACATTCTCACTTACAAGTAGGAGCCAAACAATGAGAACACATGGACAAAGGGTGGGGAACAACACACACTGCGGCCTATTGGGAGATGGGGTGAGGTGAGAGGGAGCATTAGAAAAATAGCTAATGCAAGCTGGGCTTAATGCCTAGATTGTGAGTTGATAGATGCAGCAAACCACCACGGCACATGTTTATCTGTGTAACAAACCTCACATCCTGCACATGAACCCCAGAACTTAAAATAAACATAAAATGTTTTTTAAAAAGCTAAAGTAACAGAAAAAAAATAGATTCCAGACAGTACTACCTAAATTTTTTGTTCTTACACAACAAAAAATTTCAAACACTTTTAAAAATGTTCTTGGTGTTTTTCCAGAGACATCTTTAGATAGCATATATAAGACAAATGTTACAGGAAATAGCCAAGGCCTGGCTGTGTGTGTGTGTGTGTGTGTGTGTATACATATATATATATATATACACACACACACAAATATATATGTGCATATATATATGTAATGCCCAGCCCAGTTTGGGTAAAATTGCTATTTTGCTTAACCATTTAACCATTTTATAATATTATTCAATAGATCCTGTGCAAAACTTTCACATTTTAAAATTCCTTTTCAATTTTAAATTCAAGTCAACATGATTTAACAATTGTATATTGAATATAAACAAGTTGCTTATGACTCTGCTAGACACTGGGAAAGACACAAGAAAGTATAAAGTGAAAGATTTAATAATTTAACTATAAAAACAAGAAATTAGCGAGATGATTTTAAAAACTAGAAGCTAGTAAATGCATCGTCTAGAAAAATAAGAGGGCAGTTTTAAAATAGGGAACCCAAGCCCACTAGATCAAGGAAGCCCATGTGATACTGATTAAGTGCACAGAAGATACTGTTCTCCCTGCCTTTCTTCCTGCACATGACACTCACAAGCTTTACAAGAGGGAGGAGATTGCATAGTAAAATCCAATGTCTAAAGCACTGAATCAATATTTAGAAATTAGTCATAGATGTGGAAAATTACTTTCACACACCAGCTTACTAAAACATCAAAGAAATGGTATGAAATAAACACAGAACTTTTTATTAGAACTTCAAACTTTAAATAAATATATATATATTTAAAAATCTGTCTGCTCTATGCTTCTGGTACATGTGACAATCACAAGAGACCACGGGTGTTGTAACATTTACCAAACATTCACCAAATATCCCCTTTCTGCAGCTCAGACAGGACTGGGTTAAAGGCAAATTGTTTTTCTTTTGACGTTTCTTTGTACTACTTTGCATTGATCTTTGGCTTTTCCTTCCCTGTAATGTTAGTCTGATAATAATTACTTCTGGAAATAGTCAGACTGCAGAGAGCAGGGGAATTTTTCATTACTTCTTTGATTAGCACGAGGAATGTGGACATTTTAAGTTCAATTCAACAAGACTCAACAATTGTTTATAGGCTACTCACATGATGCTCAGTGCTCCACTAGACCCTGGGAAGGATGCAAAAGAATGAGTAACATGATCTCTGGCTTCTAGGAGCTGGAAATCCTACTGAAAGATAAAATAGACAAGAATTAGATGAAGTACTATAAGATGACAAGCGAAGCTTTTGGGGATGATGGTGTTGATTGTGGTGGTATGCCTCAGCAAGGCATTATGTCACAGCACACTTGTTTTTAATATTCAAGAGAATAATAGTAGAAATATTCTTAAGAAAACCAAGAAGTATAGAAATGTGCAAAATATTAATTGATACTTATGTGTCTTGATAGGAAGACTGGCTCATCTTAAGCAGATGTGGCTATTAAAAAATGGAATTCCATTATCTGTTGGAGTGTACATCTGGAAGATTCTCCTGTCAACCAACAGTGGTCCTCAGGCTTTTTTTAAGCCTGAAGCAATGTTAATAAAAATAATACACGGTTGGCCATTTCAAAAGCATGCCCAACCAGAGTCAAACACAGAATTACCAGTAATGAGTAATATAAACTGAGAAGTGAAGTTTGGAGAAGTAAAAAGCAGACCAAGTTCCAGGAAAGTGATTTTTTTCTTTTTCTGAATGGAAGCTAGGGTAGCCTCAAATCCACTCTAGATTTTGTCTATCTTTTGCAAGGACTAACCACAATGTTGTAACCTGCTTTTTCCCTGCTAAAAATCTTAATTAAAGGTAAACATCAGTTTGATATTCTATGCATTACACTGCTTTTTTATTTTAGTTACTACCACAAATACATAGGTTTTTATCAATTAATTTTGTTCATAGTGTGTGAAAACCCTTTCTGTTCCAATATAAAATCTTACAAAGCTCTCTCTCTCTGTGCATGTGTGTGTGTGTGTGTGTCTGTGTGTGTAAATTTAAATGGTACAAGGGAAGTTTTGTTACACGGATATATTGCATAATGGTGAAGTCTGGATTTTTAGCATAACCATCACCCAAATAGTGTACATTGTACCCATTAAGTAATTTCTCTTTTCTTATCCCCTCCTGCTTTTCCAACTCTCCAATGACTACTATACTACATTCTATGTCCATATATTATTTTACTCCCACTTATAAGTGAAAATATGTATTTGACTTTGTTTCTGAGTTGCTCCACTTAAGATAATGGCCTCCAGTTCCATCCGTGTTGCTGCAAAAGATATGATTTTATTCTTTTTTTACAGCTGAATAGTATTCCATTGTGTGTGTGTGTGTGTATATATATATATATATATATCACATTTAGTTATATATAAAAATATGTGTGTATGTATATATATATATACATAATATTTGCTTTAACCACTCAACCGTTGATGGACACATAGGCTGATTCCATTTCTTTGTTGTTGTGAATAATGCTACTACAACATACCGGGGCAAGTATCTTTTTATGTAATGATTTATTTTCCTCTGTGCATTTCAGTAGTGGCATTGCTAGGTTTTATGGTAGGTCTAATTTTAGTTTTTTGAGAAATCTCCATACTGTTTTCCATAGGGTCTGTACTAATTTTTACTATACCACAAAGTACAAGCATTCCCTATTCTCTGCATCCTCACCAACATGTTATTTTTTTACTTTTTTATTATAGCCATTCTTATCTCATTGTGGTTTTATTTTCTCTGATGATTAATGATGCTCAGCATTTTTCATGTGCTTCTTGGTCATTTGTATGTCTTCTTTGAAAAATTTATATTCATGTCCTTTGCCCACTTTGTAATGGGATGATATGTGTTTTTCTTGTTGAGTTTCTTGTATATTCTGAATATCAGTCTCCTTTCATTTTCATAGTTTGCAAATATTTTGTTCCATTCTGCAGATTGTCTTCTCACTCTGTTGATTATTTCTTTTGCTGTGCAGAAGCTTTTCAGTGAAGTAAGTCTCATTCATCTATTTTTGTTTTTATTGCCTAAGTTTTGAGGTCTTCGTCATGAATTCTTTGCCTAGACCAATGTCCAGAAGATTGTCCCTAGATTTTTATAGTTCCAGGTGTCACTTTAGAGTCTTTGATCCCTCTTGAGTTGATTTTTGTAGACAGTGAGAGATAGGGGTCCAGTTTCATTCTTCTGCATATGGCGATTCAATTTTCCAAGCACCATTTTTTGAAAAGCGTATCCTTTTGTGAGTGTATGTTTTTGTCAGCTTTGTCAAAAAGATCAGTTCGCTGTAGATATTTGGTTTTATGAAATGCTACAGAGCTTTAAGTTTTTCATGGCAGACAATGTCATTGGTAGTTGTGAACAGCTCTGTGAGAAGCTTCTGAGTCAGTTAAAACTATTTCATAAGTAATACATACACAACATACACTTTAGCAAACAAAAAGTCTCTTTAAATTTACTATATAAAAAGGTGGGGTGACATACATTTCAAGACTAATTAGTTGTCAAGATAACAGAAGACCGTTTTTCTAAAAACAAACTGGAATTAGATCATCTAGAAAATAAATTGAAATGAGTTGAAGAGAAAGCAGAACTGGTAGAATAAGTCTGCTTATTTTGTAAAGTAAAATGTTCATTCTGTTCCATACCATTTCCCGTGTTGTGGCTTCTCTTATATGAAATGTAAATAATACACATTCCCAGACAGTAGGTTAGAACCTAATGATCTTTGCTGAGCCTTTATGAAGCTATTTGAAGACGTGTTCTAAGCATCCCTCTTGTTCCAAGCACTGTTCTAGTCCCTGAGGAGACAGTACAATATATCCAGAATCCTATGGGATTTCCAGTGAAGAGACAGATCCAGCTGGTAGCATTTTCCATGTCTTCAGAAAATTTTAAAGTCCACCCCAAAAACCTCAGCACCATTCTTTTCTATTCTCCATTCCCCAACTCCAGCCACTGTACATGTGTATACACATACATGAGCCCTGCTTCCTTTTAATCACCAGACTTGCATTTTTTATTATGTACTGTACACAGTGTGTAGCTGATGGATATACACGCACAAAAAACGCAGTGCTAGATGGGAAAACTCTTTCAAGCAGATTCAAAGAAATGAAACCAGCCAGGCGCCATGGCTCACGCCTGTAATCCCAGCACTTTGGGAAGCCGAGGCGGGTGGATCGCCTGAGGTCAGGGGTTTGTAACTAGCCTGACCAACATAGTGAAATCCCATCTCTACTAAAAATACAAAAAATTAGCTGGGCGTGGTGGCAGGTGCCTGTAATCCCAGCTACTCGGGAGGCTGAGGCAGGACAATCACTTGAACCCAGGAGGAGAGTTTGCGGTGAGCTGAGATCGCGCCATTGCACTCCAGCCTGGGCAACAAGAGTGAGACGCCATCTAAAAAAAAACAACAAAACAAAACAAAAAAAGAAAGAAATGAAACCATCTCTTCCATAGTGTACTAAACTTCTCCTTCAAAGTAAAATGAATGAAGAATGGTGCCAGTATTTCAACTAACATTTCAAAAACTAAGTTAGATACCACAGTCAGTCTTTTTATTATAGCGGACCTCATTCCTAAATAAATTTTACATGAAAGATATCAGAACAAGGGCTGGGCGTGCTAGCTCACGCCTGTAATCCCAGTACTTTGGGAGGCCAAGGTGGGCGGATCCTGAGGTCAGGAGTACAAGACCAGCCTGGCCAACACAGTGAAACCCCATCTCTACTAAAAATAATAAAAAAAAAAAATTATCCAGGCGTGGTGGTGGTTGCCTGTAATCCCAGCTACTTGGGAGGCTGAGGCAGAAGAATTGCTTGAATCTGGGAGGTGGAGGTTGCAGTGAGCAGAGATGGCGCCACGGGCACTCCAGCCAGGGTGACAGTGTGAGACTCTGTCTCAAAAAAAAACAAAACAGAAAAAACAAAAAAGAAAAGAAAATCACAATGGATTTATGGCATATTAGGGTAAAAAGACACTTATAAAGAGGGACTGCCAAGAAGCCCCAGACCCAAGAAAACCCTTTTTTTTTTTTTTTTTAGAAAAGCATCCCACTGGGAAGCTCTGATCTAAAACATTGATTGTAAGGCATTCTATTTCATGAAATAAGTGAGATGCTTTTTCTAATTACTCCCTCTAATACCTTCGATGAGACTGGGATATACCCTCAAAGGAGAGGTTCACTATTTGAAACGATTGTTGGAATAAATCTTTTTTACTCCTAGAAGGGTGCCATGAATTGATGGCATAGATTACATAGAAAGAAAAATCATCGATAAATACAAGCATACCTCAGAGGTATTGCAGGTTCAGTTCCAGACCATCACAATAAAGTGAATATTGCATTAGAGCAAGTCACACAAATGTTTTCATTTCACAGCATATATAAAATATATTTAAACTATACTGTAGTCTATTAAAGCTACAATAGCATTATGTCTAAAAAATAATGTATATATCTTAACTTTAAAATACTTTATTGCTAAAAAATGCTAACGATCACCTGAGCCTTCAGCGAGTCGCAATCTTTGCTGGTTGAAGGGTCTGGCCTCAATGTGGTTGGCTGCTGACTAATCAGGGTGGTAGTTGTTAACGGCTGGGGTGACTGTGGCAATTTCTTACATTCAGACAGCAAGGAAGGCTCAGTAGCCAATGTAGATCCTGTCTTTTGTAATTAGTAGCTACATCTGGCTACTGGGTCTCAAAAATAAAAATTAAAAAAAGATAGCAAGGAAATTTGCCAACTTGATTACTTTCTTTCATGAAAGATTTCTCTGCAGTATGCAATGCTGTTTGATAGTATCTTACCCACAGTAGCATTCCTTTCAAAATTGGAGTCAATCCTCTCAACCGCTGCTGCTACTTCCTCAACTAAGTTCATGTAATACTCTCAATCCTTGGTTGTCATATCAACAAAGTTCATAGCATCCTCACCAGGAGTATTTTCCATCTCAGAAAATCAGTTTATTTGCTTATCTACTAGAATAAATTCTTTGTCCATTTGGATTTTATTATAAGATTATGGTAATTCAGTCACATTTTTAGGCTGCATTTTTAATTATAGTTCTATTTTCATCATATCTGCAGTGGCTTTCTCCACTGAAGTTTCAAACTCCTCAGTCATCCATAAAGGTTAAAACCAATTTCTTCCAAACTCCTGCTAATGTCAATATTTGGACCTCCTCCCATGAACCACAAATGTTCTTAACAACATCTAGAATGCTGAATCCTTTCCAGAAGGAAACAATATCTATAGCACCTATAGCTTCACAAAATTTGCTTCTTAAATAATAAGACTTGAAAGTTAAAATTATTCCTTGATTCATGGGTTGCAGAATGAATGTCATGTTTGCAGGCATAAAAACAACATTCACATACCTATACCTCTCCATCAGAGTTCTTGAGTGACCAGGTGAATTTGTCAATGAGCAGTAATCTTTTGAAAAGAAAAAAAAAAATTTTCTGAGAAGTCTCAACAAGAAGCTTAAAATATTCAGTAAATCATGCTATAAACAAATGTGTGGTCAACCAGGCTTCATTGATCCATTTATAGAGCATGAGCAGAGTAGACATTGCATACTTCTTAAGAGCCCTAGGATTTTCAGAATAGTAAGTGAGCACTGGCTTCAACTTAAAGTTAACAGCTACATTAGCCACTAACAAGAGTCAGCCTGTTCATTGAAGCCAGGTGTTAACTTCTCCTTTCTAACTATGAAAGTCCCAGATGGCATCATCTTCCTCCAAAAGAAGGCTGTTTTATCTACATTGAAAATCTGTCATTCAGTGTAGCCACGCTCATTAATGATCTCAGCTAGATCTTCTGGATAACTTGCTATCGCTTTCATATGGTACTTGCTGTGTCATCTTGAACTCATGGAGATGTGTCTTTCCACAAGCCTCAAGAACCAAACTCCGTTAGCTTCAGACTTTTTTTCTGCAGCTTCTTTACCTCTCTCAGCCTTCATAGAATAAAAAGAGTCTTGCTCTGGATTAGGCTTTAGCTGAAGGGAGTGTTGTGGCTGGTTTTATCTTCTATCGAGACCGCTCTACCTTTCTTCATCTCAGCAATGTCTCTTTTGCTTTCTTATTATTCGTATGTTCACTGGAGAAGTGCTTTTAACTCCCTTCAAGAACTTTTCCTTTGCATTCAGAACTTGACTAACTGTTCTTCACAAGAGGCCCAGACTTTAGCCTATCTCAGCTTTCAACATGCCTTCCCCTCACTAAGCTTAATTATTTCTAGCTTTCGATTTAAAGTGGTAGACATGTGACTCTTTCTTTCACTTGAACACTTAGAGGCCATTGTAGGGTTGTAAACTGGCTTAATTTCTTTTCTCTTCTTCTTCTTTTTTTTTTTTTGTGAGACAGTTTCACTCTTGATGCCCAGGCCAAAGTGCAATGATGGGATCTTGGCTCACTGCAACCTCCACCTCCCAGGTTCAAGCAATTCTCCTGCCTCAGCCTCCTGAGTATCTGGGGTTACAGGCATGTGTCACCATGCCCAGCTAATTTTGTATTATTAGTAGAGACAGGGTTTCACCATGTTGATCAGGCTGGTCTCAAACCCCTGACCTCAGTCGATCCGCCTACCTCAGCCTTCCAAAGTGCTGGGATTACAGACATAAGCCACCACGCCAGGCCAACTGGCTTAATTTCTTTCTTTCTTTTTTTTTTTTTTGAAATGGAGTTTCACTCTTGTGAAACTTAGCTCACCACAACCTTCACCTCCCGAGTTCAAGAAATTCTCCTGCCTCAGCCTCCTGAGTAGATGTGATTATAGGCGCCCACCACCATGGTCGGGTAATTTTGTATTTCTAGTAGAGACAGGGTTTCTCCCTGTAGTCAGGCTGGTCTCGAACCCCAGACCTCAGATGATCCGCCCACCTCAACCTCCCAAAGTGCTGGGGTTACAGGCATGAGCCACCACTCCCGGCCAGCTTAATTTAAATATTTTTATGTTTCAGAGAATAGGGGGTCCTGAGGAAAAGAAAGATGGAGGAACTCCCAGTGAGTAGAGCAGTCAGAACGCACATAATATTTATCAATTAAGTCTGATTTCTTATATGGGTGAGGCTCATGGCACCCCAAAACGATCATTATTAGCATCAAAGATTACCAATCACAGATCAGCATAACAAACATAATAATCAGGAAAATTTTGAAATATTGCAAGAACTATCAAAATGTGACACAGATACAGAGTGCCCACACATGTTGTTCAAAAAATGGTGCCAGTAGACTTACTAGACACAGGGTTGCCAAAAACCTTCATTTTGTGCAAAACACAATACCTGTAAAGAGCAAAATGCCTGTACTGAGTGAGGATTTACCAGCTCAATTCCTTTTGTTTTACAAATGAGGAAACCAGGCACAGATAAGTCACATATAAGTGTTTCAGTGGCAGGAAGTTATGAAAGCAAATGAAGACAAGATTTCTTAACTCTCTACTTACAATCTCTTGGCATCACACTACTGGTTCTCAAGTGGAGTGTCCAGAATAGCAGCATGAATCTTATCTAAGAATTTGCTAGAAATGCTGCTTTTCAGGTGTTGCTCCAGACCCAATGAATCAGGAGCTCCAAGAATGAGGCCTCAGCAAGCTGTGTATTAGCAAGTCTTCCAGGCAGTTCTAATGCACAGTAAAAAGTATTAAGGAGGCCTATTTGCATCGAGATTGCACCTGTGCAGTCAGAAAGCCAAGCATGAGCTGGAGCATTTGTGAGTGGAATAGGGATTTCCTCAGACTAAGAAGACTGAGTTGTGGATTAAAATAGCTTATCAGAGAAAAAAACATTATGAGTTTAGGATGTAAGTGGAAACTA